GAAAAACAATTGGTGAGTGATGCTATTGTGCTCATTAGTGTGTGCTCTTGGGTTTATCTTTCAGGGTTGTCTTTTGATAGCTTGTGCTGGAGCTATACGTAGATAAGATGGATGATGGGAGGGAAGCCACGATGCCATCTTCAAGAGAAGGATCGTGTAGACTATCTCCAATTTTAATTGTCAAGTGAGTGTCAGAAGTTAGTCCCAAGTATAGTTGTACTTTGCTTTCATATTTTCATCTTTATATAAATCTTGGCAGTCCCTTTTTCCTACGGGAAGAGCTGCGGAAATTTTTACAAAACCGAAAGAGTTAGTCATTTTTAGGTTCGTGAAATTTCTGGAAAGGCCCTTTTCCAACGGGAAGCGCTGCTGAACGTTTCTGAAATTTTGGAGAGAGATTATTTCTGCTAGGAGAAATTTGGCAATCCACCGGGATATGATGCCAAAATTCTCGATAACTTCTTGTACCGATTAGAGGAAGGTAAAAAAAGAAGCTAGTAGAGGAGTTAGGCTACGAGATGGAGCATGTCCTCCATTTGTTTTAAATGTAGTATTGGTCCTTTATGACCTATTCTGTGATGCAGGTTTATATATTCGATTGAAGGCTTGATTCGTTCGATTTGATCCTACAAAGGATCACTCTTCTGTTATCCTCTTATAGCAAATCCGTTTACGACGCTTTTTACCTGCTTCTGTATCTCAACCAAAGGCCTTAGCCCTTGTGGGTTTTCATGTTCCTTGGGATTTTTACCAAGACTTCTTTCTGAATGGCAATTTTCAAAGACAGAGTATCTTTGTTAAGGGATGGTGGAAAGTGGTTGGGGCTCGTGTGCGTAAGGCAGGGTATGAGTCATAGGAAACGGTAAAGTTAACTCCCTTAGTGTATCCAATGTTGTTGTTTAAACTGTGCGATCACAGGTATGCATGAAAGATTCTGGATTGAGCCTTGGTGATTGTCTTTGTATTGTGTGAATGCAGATGGACAAGCCACAATATTTGTCATGAGAGCGATCGTCTAATGACACACAACCTCTTTGTTTAACTGACTGGACCTTTTTATTTTGAGTGGTCATGATAGTTAAGTAAACATGCGTGCCCATAACTTCACAACACCCGCAAAAATGCGCACGCTCGTCTTTGCTATTTGTATTAGTTGGTCAGACGTTGGTCTTGAACCTGGACTTCGAGGTCCTTGTCCAGGACATTCTAAGTTCCAACTCAACACAAATGGGTTTCCCCTATACACTGAGCTCTTGCACGTTGCCCATCTTAGCGCCCTGCATAGAGGTCTTAAGCGTCGCAAAGGTTGAACAACTCATCCTTTAAACCACCAATCCATCACCCCCTGTACTGTTCATTTTTCTTGACGACAGGTACCAGACCGAAATCTACAGTGATCAGGCATGGAGGAGGCTTGGTGGGGGTGGGGCTGGCGGGCCCGCAATTGAAAGAGAGTGCCACTGTGTGACAGCCACACCGCACTCGGCACACTCTACAAATGCACACTGCCCATAAAGCGTCCAACTGCATGTACAGTGTTATGTAGTAGAACGGTGCCCATGCAGTTACAGTGCCTCGCGGTTTCCCGTGAAAACCGCCCTCCCAGCTCGACAGGGCAGACTGCTGTTACTCTGTTGGTACACCCAAGAACTGTTGAAATACATACCGGAGTTCGAGTCCATCTCCCATAAGATTACTTCTTTACTTTCTCGGCATTTTGGCTAGTGAAGTGCAATCATGACACCTCAAGGCCGTGGTCGTTTCTCAAGAAAAGGAAGGGAAAAAAAATCAAGAGCAAAAAAAAACAAAATAAACTGCATGCCAGCTCAGCAGGACGGACAGCTGCACTCGAAACAAGCAAACGAAAGAGCCCACAGGCATAGATCAGAACAGACTCACAGTAGGAATGTATCTGACTGGAATTACGGTCAGATCTGGATGAATCTGACAGCAATCACGTCCAGAGCTTAGTGGAACAAGTCCTAGTTCCAATATGCCCTCAGTTGGTACACCCACGAACTCTTGAAATACAACCCTAAGTTCGAATCCAGTTCCCATAGACATAATTCGAAAATACATGTTGCTCTCTCTGATGATACCTCCTTTTTTTCTTTCTTTTTTTTCCAATGATGATACCTAAAGAACGTGGCCCTGTCAAAGCAAAGAAAAAGAAATGCAACCCCAAAAAGAAAAAGCAAACAAAGAGAAAAATCGCAAACGGACAGGACTGCAATGATGAGGGCTGCCTACCTACCTTTCCTTTATGTCACATATGTTGCTGGTACCAGTGCCATGTCCCGCCTGGTTGAATTTGCGGTCACTGTAGTTGTTAGGCTCGGGAAAATGCACTTTCTGGTCGAACAATTTAGCCTCCGATGGACTGGTGGTTTAACCTTTATATCGTGAAGGAGATTTCCCTCCTGATATCTCATCTCAGGCATAAGAGTGTCGTATGCAACGTCGAAGCCCGCAGAGGGTCGAGCAATTGTGGGTAACGCTTCAAGCGTCACCGTGACAGTTGGTCGCAAGAGTTCGCATAATTGAATATTATGATTTCTCTCGCTCAAGCAACCCTCTTGAGCATTTTCGTGTGCGAGCTACACCTGAAGTCTCACACGGAATAAGTTATGGGTCAGACGCTCGCGAAGGGGATAATGTGCGCCTTGGCCATTTCCTTACATACGACTGTCGTGGCCAACGCACGCACGTGTTTTGCATAGGCTCAAGCCTATAAAGATTACACGATTGCCCACGTACGACAAAGTGACTTTCCTTATTTACAATTATTTTGGGGTAACGACAAGGTTTCGGGAAGAAGGGTTAGCTTCTTACCAGTGGTGCGCCAAACAACTCACTACCACTCCAAATTCTCTTCTGCCTTCGTTGCCATTTTACCCTACCCCTCTCGGGGCAGAGCAGGGTGCAGCAGATTGCAGGGTGCTCGATTCGCTTTTGCACTCGCTAAAGGATTGACCCTTTAGTGCGCGCGTCGGCCAGCGCCTGAGCGTCGACGATCCCATGATTTAGATGAAACGACACATTCTTGGGCACCACGTAGAACACCATCATTGCGACTACTCATGTATTCGTGCATCGCTAGTCATAATGATTGAGCCCTGCGAAAAGACGTTTATTTATGCGAAGTCTTGCTCGGGACATCTTAACGTTCAGACCCGCGAACTGTTACGGATCTAGTGGAAAAAGGGAATAGGCATGATATTGCAAGTAGGAACGAGATTTAGTAAAAAGTGTATCGCGTGGTTCGAATGGTTGTCCTACTCGACCGACGTATGATCACGTTGGAGAGATCATCGCCTCGAGTGGCGATTCACGCGCGGGTCCGATTTAGGCGTTAACGAACGAGAAAACGCCCTCGGCTGGGCCACCTCTGTGAATGCATACGAAAAGCCTTCGCACGTGGTCCGGTAGCTCGATGGGGATACGCCCACCCAAGGGAAGGTGACAACTCTCGCGGGTAGAGGAAAGTTATGCCTCGCGTGACCCTACCTTATCGTAGGGGCTCGCGAGAGGTACGATTGGCACACTCGATCGACGCGGCAAAATGATCTACGCGACCAGTCTTGCAAAAATCATGCGCGATGCAGCCAGGAGGGTCCCCCTACGGCATCGATGAGCTCGACAGGTGGCGCCGTTGTCGGGGATACCGGCTGCCTATCGGGGTCCTTAGTGAACGAACCCAGGTTAAGTGCAAGCTGATGATCCAGGCAAAACGACAAACTTTATTTTTGATCTGATAGGTATGATAAGTTCTGGCAATCATGCTAGATTAGGCAAGGGGAAAGGTGTATATGTTGTACCGTATGTGCGTCATGGCACCTGTAGTTACATTTGCAGTTAAGATATCTGATTATGAGTACGGTAAAAGCTTGCTCGTGATTTGTTTAAGTGCCAACGTGCGGCATATCGAAATTAGAATGGTGAATGGTAAGATTGGGTTCTTTGTATAAAAGTGGATAGGATATTAGTAAGGAGTACGCAATGGTAGAAAAATGAGAAAAAAAGTAACGATTGGTTACAATAGAGATAAATAGTATAAGGGGTTGATAAGTTGTCAATGGATTTATTTTTTTTTCCCTACAGGGTCTAAAAGAAGTGTATAGATACCAGACGTCGATGGGAATGCGTCGCCAGAGGACCTGATCAAGGCCCCGAGAGTTGACACTGCTACAGGTGTTAAAGGTCGACATCTTCCTTTTCAAATGAGAAGGGTATCAGAATGGTTGGAGTTGTTATAACACGTTACAACTGAGGCAGCTGATGCATATAATTTTAAATTGATGCCCAAATATGTTTGGTGGTAGATTCGGCCAGAGGTCATGAAGGTGGCTGCAAATTTTAAAGAAGAAATGCAAAGGCGTTTCAAGTTGGGGGACGGTCTGTTGACAAAAGCAGACCTAGAAGTCTTAAGCCGAAACGAGTTCAACATAGTGGCTGCATTCGCTGCGACTTTTGAGAAAATGGCAAAAAGAGTTCCTCGATGGTCGAAGAGGAACAATGTGTGACTTTACAGCGGCACTTCGCAGATTTCAAAACCCATGCTTTAACTAAGCGGGGTGCCCCGGACAAAAAGTTGACACGAGCCACAAATAAATGAAGCGTGACGGATGGAGAATTGGACCAAGTAGACCTCTTCCAGATGAGGCAAGCCAAGCAAAAGCGGAAGGCCATGGATGTCATAATAGGAGGTGGTCAGGACCTCAAAAAAATTCTGAAGGAGGTGGTGGCCATGTATCCGCCACTAAAGAGGCAAACGCTCTAAGGAAAGCAATAACAGTGACCCATGTTCAGGGTAAAGTAAAGAAAACGGTAGCAAGAGAGGAGTTGGAAGAAGAAGAAGAAGACGAAGAGGAACAACCTTAGCTCCAAAAATTCACAAAGGCTAAGAGAAAGGCCAAAACTTTGGCACAACGAGGACAAGGCTCAGGAAGGGGTCAGGGTTCCCAAGCAATACCGATGCCGGAACCCGAGTCTCAGGGCCAGGCAGGAATGATAATGCCCTCACAATTTAGCAAAGTACCGTTTGGACAATGGTCAGTCTATGCAACTCTAAGTCCTTGGCATGGCGCATGAGTGTACAGCTTAGACCCTATTCGGGTGCACGAACCATTCTGCCGTCATGCGGATTTCGAGGCCTTAAGCTCACCAAACAACCCAACCACAAAAATCGGCGCCACAAGGATCTCAAGCTAAGCCGACAGGGACAAGGACGGGGAAAAGCTAGAGGAAATGGAGGCCGAGGAGGAGTCGAAAGCGGAAATGTGTCAGAAATTCTGATGGAGGAGGAAATGGGGAATGGAACACTTCAGGGAGTCAGGGAGGCAAAAAAGATGAACAAGGATATGGCAGAGGAAGAAGATTGGAGGAACGCGATCTGTCGGCACTGTGCCCAAAAATGGCACATGATTAGCACGAATATAGATGGGGATGTCTACGACAAGTTTGGAGACTATATCGACCTTACGATCTTAGGAGGGATGAGGAAAGAGGCTATACTACGAGCCAATGGGTCAAATGCATCGGCCCCTCCAACTATGTTCCGTATCTGGCAAGAGGAAGACACTCTCCCTCGCATAAGGATAGAAGGGTTAGGAGAGAATGAGGTGGAGCAAAAGATGAGGGCCGACGCCGTAAGACGAGCGATTGTGGTAGAATCGAACAATGAGGAACAAGAAGATTATCGGATCGAGGCAGGAAGAACGCTGGAAAGAATGGAGGATCTAGTGGCGAAGATAAAAGATATCAAAGACAGTTGCACAATATATGTGAAGAGGTTAAGGAGTGGAAAGGGAAGAGGCCGGTGGTATACCTCTGTGATTCGGGCCCAGAAGCTCTGAGAGAACCTGTGAATTTACTAGGAGTAACAATTTCAGGCCCGACGCTTCCATCTAGGATGGCTTTTAGGACACCATTGAGACAAGGAAGAGCGCCATTGGTGGTACGAACAAGGACGAAAGGAGCGGTGAATAGCCACCTCAAGATGTTCTTGAGCACAGCGGAGAGAAAGAGACAGCAGAGATTTCAGAGGATGAGGATGAAGAGGATGAAAAGATAAGGCAAGAAGAGGACAGACAAGCAGAGAAGAAAGCTAAAAAGAGAGGTGCCAAGAGACCCAAGACAGACACGGAGAAGTCTCAAAAAGGGAAAGAAAAGAAGTACATTGTCCGGATGGAAGAAGGCTTTGACGTCGAAGGAATGATTAATAGACTCCTTGAGGGTCATAACAACCTTATTAATTTGAAGGATATCCTTGCCTCAACTCCTAAGCTACGAGACGATCTAAAAGCTCGATTCTTCAGAAGGATGGTGGATACTATGCGTTTGGAAACTATAATTCCCAAAGAAGCGGAATGGGCAGAAACAGGCACTAAGATGGACTGGAAGTTGTAGCATGTGAGTGCCAAAATGTGACAGTTAAGGGGAAGCCATGCACGACAATTGTGGACACAAGCGTCGAGATGAACCTCATAAAGTATGAACATGCTATGCGCTTGGGGATGGAGATTGATCGCTCCGATAATGGGATTCTCATGAGAACTAATAGCAGATCGGTGTTGGTAGGGACCGCATCAAGTGTGGTCGTAGAGATTAGAAAAGGAAAAGTAAGTTGTTTCTTAATAATACTAGATATGGACCATCCTATCCTATTGGGCCGACCATTCTTAAGTAGAACCAAATCCCTCATACTTAATACGCATGATGGGACGATGTTCCTTGTTTTATGCAACCAAGTATGTGGCAATTATGAGGTTGTCACATGCAGGAACACAAGGTCGCGAAGTGTAAGTAATCGGCCCAGTCCCGGCTCTTCACATTCGAAGAGTCAAAGGAAGAGAAAAAAAGGTTGGAAAGGGAGGAATTCGAGGAGGAAGAACTAGAGGCTTTGTCTCTTAGTTTGGCTAACATAGGCGATGCTATGGTCATAGTATCTACCTTTGGGATAACAGACTCAGAGGCAGTAGAGGCCTTGAAAGAAAGAGTGATGGCGCAAATGTGAGAAGGAGAGGCAGCGTTAATATATCATTTGCCTGGACGAGTAGGAGGACATAGATCGCTCTGATTATGGGATTCTCATAGGAACGAATAATAGATTCGTATTTGTAGGGACCACATCCGTGTGGTGGTAGAGATTAGAAAGGTAAAAGACGGTTTATAATATCACTTATAAATCTTTATTCTGATTACGACCAATTTTCTGTTTACCAATCAGATAGACTCATGATGGCCATGCATACACCCAGAGGTCTGATTCACATGAATGTCGCACCACAAGGATGGACGAACACAGTCGTCGTGGTTCAAAGGCATATGGTAATAGTTATGCAAACAGTTAGTCCTCATATCACACAACCGTACATCAATCATCTGATTGTGAAAGGATTAAAGGAGAACGGTGAGCAAGGTTATGCCAGGAATTTGACGATTTGTTTTGGATTATGTGCAAGATCCATACAAGGTTCTAGACTTATTAACATAATATAACCTTACTGCGGCTGGATCCAAATTGAGGCATTGTATGCGTGGAGCAACTATCTTAAGGTTTGTGTGCGACGAGACGAGTCGTTGGCCAAATACTAATAAGACCAACAAGATTCTCGAATGGCCAACGCCATTCGAGACAATGACGAAAGTGATGAGCTTCCTAGGAACATGTGGATTTTGGAAAGTTTTCATTAAAGGGTTTGCTGGAAAGACATACCACCTGCGAACACTTGTGCATGGAGGCCAAAAATGGAAACAGAGAGACAAGCAAGAGTTAGTAATTCAAGATCTCGATAAACAATTTGAGGAAGGAGGTCTAGTAATGAGAGTACCTGACCATGCTGCCACATTGATCAGAGCATTTATTATGGAGACAGACGCAACTTTATGATCAGAGCATTTATTATGAAGACAGACGCAACTTTAACTGCCTTAGGAGGTGTATTAATTCAGAAAGGCTGCAAAGGAGAAGAACGACCACTACGGTTTGAAAGTCGAACGCTTAACACAACTGAGAGAAATTATTATGAGTTTAAGCGTGAAACATTGGCAATTCTCCATTGTTTATGAATTTTCAAAAACTATTCAACTATTGTCGCAGGTTCTCTTAAGAATTACGCTCCTTCGGATTCAACTATTGTCAAATGGCTAACTTATATCTGGATGTTTGACTTCGAATTGGAACATATTCCAGTGAACAAAAATGGAGTTGATGGGTTAAGTCGCGTTAACAAGGATAAGGGTAATTAAGGAGTAGTTGAGGACACTCCACTAGTCGACGACATTTTGGGAAAAAAAAAATATGTAAAGCTCCACACTAACTCATGGTCACTAACCGTATATGCGCATGTTGCTACCGGACGACCAGTGTGGCTTGCACCTTCAGGTCATTAACGACAGCCATACATAGTCCTCAAACCTTTTGTTGAGGAAAATTCGTAGCATACGTAGGGAGTGGAATGGATGATGGAATTGACACTGGCAGATAAATATGGATTAGAGGAGTTGATCACAGTGGAAAGTGGATCCAGAAGGTGAAGAAACATCAAACGTTGGTAAGTGGAGTGTGTCTCCTAACCAATCCAATGCCTTAAGAAGAGATCCCTAGGATTAAGGGAGAAAGACAAAACAGAGAGGAGAATGTGATCCACGAAGGAGAGGATGATAATGTTGAGGAACGAGAGATAAACGAGGCATTTCGCGCAGAACAATATATTGGGGTATATCTCGAACTTGAAAGAGATGGTCATTTGTTCATGAGTAAAGGAAGGAATCCCAAAAGAGTGGTATGTGGCATCACTCAATAAATTGATGTCATAGGAGCCCTACATGATGGGAAAGCAGGTGTCCATAAGCGTACAGATGCAACATACCTAAAAGTGCACGAATTATATTATTGGGATGGCATGGGGTAGATGATTGACAAACATTGGAAATCTTGTGTACCATGCTAGGAGCAGCGATCCCTTACACCTAGGGAACCACTTCACCCAAGATATATACGTGAGGTAGGAGTGGTCGTTCATTTGGACCTGTTCGCGATGCCTCTAGAGTAGGAGAGTATAACTATATCTTTGATGCACGAGACAACCTCTCAAGATATGTGGTTGGCAAGGCCATGACTAGCGAAATGTTGGCTCGTTGTATCGAAGAATATTATCTTCGCTATCCTTTCGTCTCAAGGTTCATAATGGATAGAAGATCTGAATTCACTTATGCAAAAGTGAAGACGCTCTTGAGGGAGCATGGTGTGATCGCTAAGTACACGACTGCAGCGCACCCTCAAGCAAATGGACCTGTGGAAAGAGGACATAGCACCATTACGAACCTTCTCGCCAAATGGACATGATAGGTTTAATCAACGGCCAAACTTCTTAAGAGTTGCCTTCTTCGTGGAAAACATTATTGTCAACACAATTACCAAGTACGAGCCGGTTACGTTGTGGTATGGAAGACATGCGACGTTCCCAATTGAGAGTTTCTTGAAAATTTGGGATGACAAGACCTCAAGAGAACGTTGCCATTTAAGGAGTTGCTTGATCTAACGGCACATCAAATTGAAACCATAGAGGACAGAGTTCAGCAGGCGACGAGTAGAGTGGCTAACAGTCGAGACAAGGACAAGTTCAGGTGGTACAAGATAGCGTGAGTGCAGAAGGAGCCTCTTCACGTTGGAGATTACTCATCCCTAGAGAAACGATGGTCGAGGAAAATAAGCAAACGACGGTTGAGCCGTACAAAACTATGAGATGTGGCGAGCTTGGGGCCTATCAGAACGAGGAATGGGATGGAATGGCGTGGAAGGACTTGGTATCTACCTCTAGGTTGAAAAAGTTTGTGGCATGGGATGAGGTGAGCATGGAGTAAACAAGCAAAATTCTCTCTTGAGAAAAGGAAGAAAGCCTTATTATAGAAAAAAGAACGGTTGCTATACTATAATTGTATCTTTAGGTAGAATAGGACAATGCGATAGATATGAGAATAGGCATTGTATATATATGTATATGTATAGGTATCTAGGTAGTTATGGGAGGGTAATATGTCTATCATTTGTGGTTGTCTGGCATGCTTACCCCCTGCGCTCATGTTGTCTCTTCCTTGTTGTGCAGGCTTGATACCAGTGATAACCATGACAAGAGGGAAGAGCGGGGTTGGGCCAATGGAAGCTCCTCTGAGAGCGACTAGACAGGGGCGGCAACAAAGGATTACTACCGAGAGCATGCCTCCTATTTTCAATGGGAAGTGTGGAGATGTTCACGGGTAGGTTTGAGGTGCATGTTGTGGAGCTTGGGTGGGGTGTGACCAAGAAGTTGGCAGCGGTGTGAGGCACTGGAGAGCGGGAATAGACTATTGCAAGATTTGTCAGGGAGTCACTTACTTGGAAACAATTTAAGAGGAAGATGGAAGGATTGCATCCATCGCCCATGGGGAGAGATGGCTTGCCCATTCGTTTTAACACTCCCAACTTAAAAGAGTTCTTTGGGCATACGATCTATTCGCAGATGAGCAAGGTGTCATGTGGGAGTCAAGGACAAGTAGCTTCATTCAATTTGTGAGGAAGACCATCATATCAATTGTTATATCTGTTGTTGAGCAAGCTGCAAATTGGAATGACTGTAAGCGCCTGCTAAGAACTACTGTTCTCCAGCACGACAAGCAGAGAACAGGAGAGGCATGGGCGAGAAGAGGAAGGAATCGAAAGAACTAAACGAGTAGGCGGAGGAAAGTGGTGTGTCTTCAGGGTCACAAGGAGAAAAGAAAGAAGGAGCACAGGTCGCATAGGCATGAGAGAATGGAAAGTCAGGTTATTCGAGAGATGGAGATAGGAAGAGATGTCGAGGATTCAACACCACCCCTAGAGCCTCCCCAATTACTTGATGCACATCCACAGCCTGAGACAGAACCTGGCCTATGCCATGAACCAGCGAAGGAGCAAGAGAAAGAGAAAGCATCTGCTAAAAACAAAAAAATCAGGAGGAAAGGACATCGCGAGAGAAGGAGATCATAATCCATTTCAGACTTCAAAATTTAGTAGAGATGAGGGACAACATGCACGAAGGGAAACAACCAGTAGAAATAGAAGACAGGAAAGAGAAGTCAACCTGTGGCAATAAGGATGATCCTCCCATGCTAACTGAGGCATGGGAGAGCTTTGAGAGATTGATGGAGGCGACATGCTGACCTTCAGCAGAGCTTCAGGAGATGGGGGTTAAGTTAGTCTCTACACACTTACTTAGCGTGAAGGGCCTTCTTAAACCACCAGTACATGGTCCCAAGCGTGCAACAAAAAAACATCTCGCCATAAACGACAAAATAGAAGGTCGGGGCAAGGTCGGAGTGGCGGAGACCTTCAACCTAGGCCCGCGCAAGCCCACCGACTACGGGTTTTTGTTTGTGGCTGGCAGTAAGGTCTGTCGTCCTTCCGCAATACGAATATCGAAAGAAAAAGAAAAAAAATGGCGGGTGCAAATGGTCATGTTTTAGCAGGAAGTTTATTGTCATTTTGCACATACATTTCGAGAGTGGTGTGGCGATGCCTTCAGGCGGGAGAAGGTGTTCACCTTCTGGTTGTATGAACGGTACCCGCACAACGGGAGGGTCTGCCGAGATCCCTCCGTACGAACAACCGGGAAACTCCATCGACATTTCAAAGTTGTTGCCTACGCCCTGGGGTTGTGGCTGCTGCCCACATGGCAGAGTTGAAATTTTGCAGTCATCGTGGGCTACCGCGCACGTGCAACATCGCCCATGCAAAGGTAGCTTCCTCCAGGCGTCTTCTTCTTCGTCAACGATCTCTCTCTCTCTCTCTCTCTCTCTCTCTCTCTCTCTCTCTCTCTCTCTCTCTCTCCTTCCTTTTTTTTCACCGGTGGTGTTTTTTCTCTCCATCTCATTGAACACAACATCCATCATGATAATAAATAGGTGGCATTTGAAGCTAGTCGATTTGGTCTAGGTACGTTGTCGGTATCGGTGGGTCCCGAGATAAGTCCTGACCCCTGAGAGATGGTATATGGCAGAATTGTGCAAAGCGGAGAAAACCGGAGGCAAGAGAGATAGAAAGAATGGAAGGCCAACGACACAAGTGTCGACGCCTAGGTACCTAGAGAATGCCCTGGGCCGCCGGAACCACTGGATGAAGAAGATACTAGCAGAACAACAACAGCGAAGGGTCGTAGGAAAATAGTAAAGGCGGCCCTTCTTCCCGAAGGGAGAAGGACCGCCGGGAAAAATAATGTCATGGGCTGCGTGCCGCAGGAAGAAAAGAGTCGATGGGGTCGAGAAAATAATAAGGCACCGGCACGTGAGAACGTAGCTGGGGTCAAGGGGGCCACCAGGATGCGGCATAGGAAGAGTCGAGGGGCCACGAGCCAAGTAAAGGGTCGCGGCCGGAGAGGACGGCGCGCGCAGGACATAGAAAAAGACTAGGAAGGGGGTAGCGATAGAAAAGAATGTGCCAAAAGAAATCGGAACATCGCGAGGAGAGTTGTCGGGGACCATAGGGGACTAAGAAAAATAATGGCATTTTGGGACCAAGTACCGGTGGGACCACCGGCAGGACAAGTGTCGGCGGGACCACCGGCGGGATAAGTGTCGGGGACTCGTGCGGAACAAGTGGCGGGGACATGTGATGCCCCAAGACAAAGTCATGAAGGGCCATGAGAAAAGCCCAAGGCGAGGCGTGTCGTCGACATCAAGATCTAAACGACCAAGAATATTAGCACCACTAGTGCAAGCACTAGCAGAGGCAAATGGGAGGGCTAAAAAAGAAAGGAAAGCAAAAGAAAAGCAAGAGAGGAGGCATGGCAGCAATCCGAAATATCTCGGATTAGCTACCTTAAAGAAAATGGAGACCAGAGAGGCTCCGTGTGAAAAATAGGCTCCCGGGAGAAAACCGAAGCAAAAGGGGCCACAATGTGGAAATTGAGAGGTAAGAGGAGGCTCTCAAGGGCATGCGGGAGCCTCAATTGCAGTCTGAAATATAACGGACTGCACCTTGGGCATAGGAAGGGCCAAAACTAAGAGGGAGGGCCTAGAAAAGGCCTTAACGACTACTTGACAATGCATGCTAAGAAAAGAAAGAAAAAGAAAAGAAGTAAGTGAGTAATGCTAAGAAAAGAAAGAAAAAGAAAAGAAGTGAGTAAGTGAGTAAGTCGTCAGTAAGGACTGCCACAAGGAGTGAGAGGGAGTAAGTGAGTAGGTCGTCAGTAGGGACTGCCACAAGTAAGGACTGGCAGATTCCTACTGTCCGAAAATGGAGGAAAAAGAAAAGAAAAGAAAAGAGAAAAGAAAAGAAAGGAGAAAGAAGCCTTAACGATAAAAAACGGCCACTTGGGGAGATATATTCGTGACCAGGTAGATACATTCTGGGATATGGCGGTTGCAAAGGACCTTGATTTTCTCTTGCTTTTGCAGAGAAAATCAAGAAAAATCAAGGCCCCATGCAACCGAGATACAACGGATTGCAAGGGGAAGGAGAAACACATGTTTTAGATGCATCCAAAGCCAATATTGAATCCGAACGCACTTGGAAGTTGGTCGTTTATTTTTGTTTCAGTTAAAGGCATGTTGTGGGGTCATGAGGCTAGGAAAAAGGCCATTACGACAGTCCAAGAAATAACGGACTGCATGGGGAGGCCTAGGCCAAAAGAAAAAGGGGCCTTGGCTCACCCAAGACAGTAGAAAAGAGTGTCTTTGGCTTGGGCAAATAAAGATGGTGAGTGGGGACCGCGGGATGGTGGATCTCATAGCCTAGAATATTCGCGGCACTTGAGGCCCATGAGAAGAAGGGAGTGGGACTGTCTGGGACCAGGGAACCCAAATTAAAAAAAATGGGACATCATCGGAAAGGGTGCCGAGGACTAGATGGGCCCAAAGAAAAATAATCGAAAATTGGGACATGCGCCCGCGGCCCGGCGGCCGGACCACCGCCGTGACTAGAAAATAAATTGGCATGAGAAAATGGCGGGGACTTGAGTAGTCCCAAGAGAACCATGAATTAGCAAAAGAGGAGTGTGCAAGCAAGTAGTGTCGTCGATATCAAGATCTTGACAATGGAAAATATTAGCCGCTGTGAGTGCAAGATTGAAAGAGCCTAAGGGGAGAGTGCTAGGAGGCAAAAATGAGAAAAAAGAAATAAAGGAGGGGCTTCCCAGCAATCCGAGGTATCTCGGACTAGCAAGGCCCAAGAAAATAGAGCCTCAATGGGCTCTATGCAGAAAATAAGTTGCCAAGGGAAAATCGGTGGGCAGATAGATAAAAGGGGAGAAAAGGGTGAAGAAGAATGTGTCGACCAGATTGGGACTGATACAGTAGGGTCTGGCAGGTCCCTACTGTGACCTCATCCCTCCAGATTTTGTGGAGGGCATTATCTCAACAATATCTAAATTTAAAATGGCAAAAATGGGCAAAAAGGCAAAAAGGAGTTGGCCGTTTTTTTTGTGAGTCATGGATCTGAGATCAGATCTCATGGTGGAGAGCATATGGCCGTTTTTTATGGGGCCAGCTCAAACGGCCAACTCCGGAACGAGTTGGCAGCCCAAAACGGAAAGAAACAAAAGAAGGAAAAGACCGAGACTGTGCATTTGGCCTAAAAAGTAGGCCAGATGCACCAAAATTTGAAAAAGTGAGTATAGGGGCTCAAAATTGAAGCAAGGACCACTTGGGGGTAGCTTGGTATTATGCCGACCTTGGGTCTCAGCCAGATCTAAGGCTGAGATTGATCCGAGACTTGGAAAAATATCTCGGCCTACCCAAAATATGGTAGGAACAACAAAAAGCAAGAAAAAGGCCCCTCAGCATTTGGACTCAAGAGGGCAGCATTTGAAAAGGAAAGGAGGTTGAAGGAGGCCAAGAGGCAATCCGAGTTGGTACCAACCACTTGGACTGCATGTACTTGGCCAAAATAAAGCCCAGGTACCCCCGGAGAAGCCTAGTGGCGGGATTTTGCCTTGGGGGTACCTCGGTTCACTTAGAGGCACATGAGGAGGCTCATGGGCTGGCCGGTACTCCGGTTTCAGAGGCACATGAGGAGGCTCATGGGCTGGCCGGTACTCCGGTTTCAACCTACATAGTCCGCCACACTCACATTTGCATGAGTGCCCATGCTGCCCAAGTGAGGTCATACGAGCACTCTACTCACTTGGAGTGAGAGGAGGGGAACCGCTGCCTGTTGGGAGCCTTGGAGGAGGTTGTGAGCTAATAGGAGTTGCCATTGGA